TTTAGATTAATATTTTGCAAAATTATATTATCATTATTATTATTATTATTATTGGGAATTGTTTCCATGCTATTCCATGTAAAAAAACCGTTTTCTATGCTAAGCACCGTTAGGTGATTGTCATCCTCGTCCTCCTTCTCATCATCGATGGTATCGATATTATTGGTCACATAATTGGTTAGTTCGGGTAAATCCAGAAATTTGTTTAAACGATTAATTGAAACTATTGACTATTGAAAATTAATTAGGTTGTATATAATTATAATAATTGTTTTATATTTTATATAACAAACCATACAATTATTATCTCATTGATAGTGTCGGGCATATTCATAACCGAATGCCCGACCTTAGCAAACAATGCTAGCGATACAAACACTTTTTGGGCGTCCAATGTGTCCGAACCGATGGCCATATAGGAGCCAAACGTAGCCAACGTAACCATAAATGGTAGACAAGTTGATGTCAGCAGCGATATTGTCGACCAATAGCCGGCTGTCCGTAAAAATCCCAACTCTTTGCCGCGTATTTGCAATATCTTATCGATGAATGCCTTTTCCCAGGCGTATAGCTATTTGTGTTTTTTTAGGTGGGTGTGGGTATATGGGTGTGGAGTTTAAATAAATAAATAAATTGAAAACGTTATTTCTATACATAATTATCTGATAATTTAATTAATTAACTAATATTGACATAATTATTTTTATAGGCTATAGATTTCTGTATATATATTATTTATTAAAATATTTAAAAAAAAATAAAAAAAATACTATTATATAATCTAATAATAATATTAGTAATATTAGTAATATTAGTAATATTAGTAATATTAGTAATATTAGTAATATTACTAATATTACTAATATTACTAATATTACTAATATTACTAATATTACTAATATTACTAATATTATATTATTATCAAGTTTTAACATTTAAAAAAACTAAATTATTAATAATTAAATATATTAATTAAATTTTTTAGTTAGTTTTTAAATTATAATTATAATAACTATAATAAAAAAAAATCTAAAATAAAATAATAAGAAAAATAAAACAAAATACTTTTAATACTTTGATACCATTGAGTACATCATTGGTAATCAATTGTCGGCGATCTTTGTGAGACATTTGTCGGGACATATAGTTATCATTGATTTTGGCTACAAATATATTGGTCATCATAGCTACCAGTAGTACTAGGATACCGGCAACAATGGACACACCTAATTCAGTGTATAGTAGATATACTGCCAATGTTATCTGGATAATGGTCGTCCATAAAAAATTTAATTTCGATAACAGTCCTTGATAAAATATAAATAAAGTAAAAAAATAAATTAATAAATTTTTTTGTTAAAAATAAATAAATAATTTTTTTTTCAACAATATATATATATATACCAATAAATCGATGACAATCGACGGCCATTAGATTAACTATTTGCCCGGTATTTGACTCCCGATTTTTGGCACTATTACTTAATACCAGTGCTTTACGATAGACCAGTCCGGTTAGCAATGTTTTTATACGCTGTCCTATAAAAAAACATAAAACAAACATTTTTTTAAACATATATATATATATATATATATATATATATATAATAATCAGGGATTTAAGTAACTAAAATGCCTGTCCTAACAATGCTAACAATTTCTAAAAAAGCCAACTGTATTTATAATAAAAAAATATAATCGTAATTTAGTATTTTTTACCATGTTAATTAAATTAATACAATTAATTACAACTTTATATACTACAAGGATATTGACTTATAATTTATTAGTTATACTAAACAAACAAATATATTGATAAAACAATATTTTTAATAAATCAATAAATTAATATAAATTAATAAAAAAAATAATAGATATCACCACCACCACCACCTAAAAATAAATGCCCAGGCTCTGGCATAGAAAGGACAGGCATTTATGAAAAAACAGGCATCTATTGTTTATGCCTGTTATTTTTAAAACCCCTGATAATAACATAGTTTGTTTTTTTGATAAATTTTACATTTCATACCTAAAACAGTCATTTGTTGGGCATTTATAGAGTAGGCAAATGCAACCGTCATATTGAGCGCCAGTATTGCTGTTGCATAGACATAACCGTGCCATTGGGGGTCATCATCATTGACGGTAAATTCAATCAAATATCTAATAACACATATATCAATATATATATATATATATGTATAAAATACTATTATAATTATGAGGTTATGAGGTTTATAAATGGTTGGATTATACTTAAGTAGATATGCGCTAAATATGACTCCCGTATCAAATACTATGAAAGCTAGTGTTGACGGCAAATAAGTCGACCAAAAAGTTTTCAAAATAGCTGTAAATACATTACTACTGACTACTCCTACACTACTACCGCCAGTAGTAGTAGTAGTAGTAGTAGTACTGGTAGTAGTTGTAGTTGTCTTATAATGTCTAGAAAATTGGGCCATCAATTGGTCGACCCTATCGTCCGATCGTAGTGGCCATAGATCGCCGATAGTCAACGATTTTTGCCAACCAGTCCATAGTAGACTGTCTACCCATTGAAATGTTAGTAACGATAGAAAACCGGAACTATCTTTTGGACAGTTGTTGGTTAAGGTTAAGGTGTCGGCGCTTTTAGCTGACAATTGTTGTCGTTGTGGTAAACGATCGGCAATTGAACAAAACATTAACAATAGGGTAGTCAATGAAAACTCTATAGTTATCGCTAGTAGTTGTCCCGCAGTTATTGATAGTCTGACCGTAGCGTATGACCAAACTGTTAGGCCACTGGCCACTGTATCGGCTAATAGATAAAACCATATAAACCAATTGCAACTGTGTTGACCGTTTAGTCGGTACTGGTAGACAACTATGGTTATGGCCAGTCGTGTTGCTATTAGTATGAATGTCCTGATAATATAGGCAACTGTTGGTAGTGGCAGTGGTGGTGTGTCATCAATGGCTGGCCATTGATGATAGTATCGGAGCTGATATAGACTGACAAACAAGTCGACTACAGTTACCGTAGCTAACAGACAGGCAATGGCCAGTCGTATAATATTGAAGTAGTTGTAGTCAATAGTTGACGGTGTTGTTGGTGTTGATCTAACCGATCGGTGATTACAACATAGTGTAGTGATTTTAATGGACAGGCATACGGTTAGACAGGTAGCCGGCAGCCATACAAGCCAAGTATCGGCCATACAGATGCTAAACTTGGGACTAGTAGTGTTCCACATAAGCACCGGATCCTACACTTCCACCAAATAATATAATTAATTTGTAATTAAAAAAAATAAATAATAATTATTATAATAATTAATAGTTAAATATTTTACCCATAATTTTGTGTCACATATTTTGTCAAACATATTGTTATTTAACATTATTTTATTAGTTTGTTATTAAAATAAAATTAAATATTTATTATTATTATTATTAATTAATAAATAATTATTATTATTTATAAAAATATATATTTGTTTAGTTGAAAAAATATTAATTACAATTAAATACAAATAACTATTTAATTAATTTTCAAATTTTTGAAATTATGAATAAACTATCAAAAATAAACTTTATAATTATTATTAAAAAAATTAAATATTTCACTAATTGATTAACATTTTAACATTGATTTAAATTGTAGGCAAAAAAAAACTTAAGTAATTATTTATTATGAAGTTTTTATTAATTATTATTATTAGTATTAATGTGTTGTAACAAAATTGTTAACCTTCTGGGAATTCCCAGATAGTTTTTATTTTTATCTTAATTTTTATATCTATCTAAAAAAATGTGGTTTAGAAAAATATCAGTAAATCAATAAAATTAAATATCTAATTTCGATATTGAGTTGTATTAATAAATTTATTTATAAATTTTCTAGTAATTTTTATAGTAATTTTCTAGTAATTTTTGTAGTAATTTTTGTAGTAATTTTTGTAGTAATTTTTGTAGTAATTTTTGTAGTAATTTTCTAGTAATTTTTGTAGTAATTTTCTAGTAATTTTCTAGTAATTTTCTATTAAGTTTTTATTAATATTCTATTAATTTTATATTATTTATTTTTTTAAAATTTAAATAGAATGTTATTTTTTTATACAATTTAAATGATATATAAAAATTATTTTAATTAATCATTAATTTACAAATAAAGTTTATATATATATATTATTAGTTTATATAATCAAGATTAACTAAAAACTAGGTGACTTTTATTAACATAAATTGATAATAATTAATTTGGGTAACTGTGCCATCAATTGATAAGACAATTGAATTATTTATATAACGATTTTTTTTCTTTAAAATAAATAAATATTTGATTAAAATAGAGTTTATATACTACTGTTTATCGCATAATAATAATAATAATAAAAGTTTATAATAATTTAACCCCAAAAAACATGTTTACTTTATTTTAAAAATTAAAATGTATAGTAATTTATTTAATTTTTTTTTGAAAATGTTTTTTATATAACATTACACCTACTGTTTATTATAGATATATATATAATAATAATAATAATTAAAACGGTATCAAAAAATTTATAAATAATATTTACTGATATTAACAATGTTTACAATTTGTATATAAAATTTAATTTAGTTTTTAGTTTTTTTTATTAAGTTCATAAACTGTTGTTAAGATTTATAAAAATATTTTTTTAATTAGATTAATAGATATATTTATATATTGAATGATAAACTAATAGTTTTATTTGCAAATATACAATAAATATTATATTATTAATATATATATATATATATATTACTATAAATATAGTAAATATCTCTACATTATATTTTTTAAAAAACAAAACAATTAAAAACTTTAATATATTATTGAGTTAAATTTATAAATATTTATTTTAAACTGTATTTAGAAATTACAAATAAAATATATTAACAATTTATAATTATATTATATAATTATAATTTACAATTTATATGTTTTGCATTTATTAAATAATAATTAAATAATTTTGAATAAATAAATTTATATAAAATTGTTTTTATTATATTTAAAGAAAAAAAATTGTTTTTATTATATTTAAAGAAAAAAAATTGTTTTTTAAAATAATTTATATTATTATTTATTCAAATAATTAATTAACTGATGATAGACAGAGAGATAGTAGCCATTAAAAAAACGGTAGCTATGAATGAGATATATGATAGATGTCCTCCACATAACTGGCCATAAATTTGCGAACTGGATGTACACATAATAGTAGGTCCTATTTGATGGCCAACTCCTTTACCACCGATATTATCAGTCAATCAGTTTGTTTTTTGAATTTAATTAAATATTTTAATATTTTTGTTGTTGAATGAAATAAAAATGTTATTTGATATCACATACACACATAGTATAGCTATAAATATATATTTTATTTTAAATACAAAAATTTATCATAAGATATACACTGTATTGTGAATCTTAATTATTATAGTATTATTAAAGTTATATATTTTTATTTTTAAAACTATTATACAAGTAATCTATAAATTATTTTTTTATCTAATATTATAATTATTTTTAACATATTTTATAAATTATTTTTTTAGTTGCATTACACTAAAATTAGATGCCAAAAAAATATAAAAAAGTATATAATTTTATTTTTTTAAATTAATTTAATTGTATATTTTTTTTATTTTTTTTATATACTATACTAAAACATTACAATTTATTTTTATTTTATTTTCACTTAAATACAAAATAGTGTGAATAATTTTTTTTAAAGACATTTTTGTAGTGAAAATATTTTTCATAAACTATTTGTTAAATATAATGCATTTTTGTATGTTTTTTTCAAATGTAAATTCAATTTAAAATTTCATAATTAATTGCTAACATATGTGTGTTTATGTTTTTAGTAATAACTATTAATAGAAAGTTTTAAAAAAATTTAAAACTAGTTTTTGAAGTCAATTACTAAATAAAATATATAATATTTTTTTTCTCAAATAATATATTTTCAATGTTAGCCAATGATTGTAAATCATTGATAATATTAACAACAAATAGTAATAATAATATTTTTTGTTGTATTTAAAACAATGAATATTCAATAAATCAATTATATTGATATATAATTCATTAAATTTTTACTGTATTTTAAATATTTATGTGTTTACAGTATTATATATATATATCATATATTTTTTTGTGTCACTGTTAATGTTTAAAATAAATTTTTATTTTGACTGCCAGTTACTATAATTAAATATTATTGATTGATTTATTATTTAAAAACACACACACATATATATATAAACTTATATTTTTTATAAAAACTATAGTAAAATATAATTTGATTGACAAAAAAAACACATAAAATTTGATTATCAATGTTGTATAATATTAGCGCAAAATAAAATCTAATTATTTATTATATTTATAATAATATTTTAAATATAATAAATAATTAGATATTTTTTTTAAAAAATATAGATTAATAATTGTTTTAAAAATTTGACATTAAATTTAGTTTTGACTAAATAGTCATATAAAAAATTTACGGTTATTTAAAAAATACATTAAATGTATTTAATTTATATCTACAGTAATGTTTTTTAAGCATAATATTTCATAATAATTGGCATAATTTAACCAACAAAATAAAAAAAATGTTTACTATTTATAAAATAAAAGTAATTAATTTATTTATTTTTTAAATATATATTATTTAACAGTATAGACACATACAGTATATATATATAAAGTTTATATATTAAATATATATATATTTTTATATTAAAACAGGATCTAAAATATATAAATAACATTTGTTGCTAAAAATATTTACAATATGTATATATAAAATGTGATTTTATTTTATTTATTTTATTTTACATTAAGTTTATAAACATTTTTTTAGATTTACATTAAAATTGTTATAATGGTCTAATACATACAGTAATTATATAATTATAATATTTATAATTACAAAAAGTAAACTAATATCAATAGTTTTATATAATAATATACAATTAATATTACATTTTTTATTATTATTATATTTTTTTTAATAAATATCTGCTAAATTATATTAAAATATTAAAAACACAATTGATAATATTATTTGATTGAAAATTTATAAATACAACAATAATAATAATAATATAAATATTTAGTTACTTATACAGTGTATAATAAATTAACAAAAAAAACAAAGAAAAATGAAAATTAATAATTATAATAATTAATTAAATATTGAACACATTTTTCTTTAATTAATTAATTAATTAATAATTATTAAAATAAAAATTTAATTAATTTTTTGTGTGTGTGTTTGTATATATATATATATATATATGTATAAATAAAATTTTTATATGTTTTTTAATAGTTTATATTAATCTTTAATAATTAACTGATAGATGAGCGATAGGGCAAAAACGGTAGCCATGAATGATGTAATACCCTCGACATAACCGGCCATAAAATGAAACTTAAAAAACAGACTCAAACCCATAAGGCTGGCAAAGGCTGTACATAATAGTAGGTCCTCTTTGATGGCGGCAAACACACCGACCAATTCAATGACCACCGATATTATGGCTATCAATATAAGGGCAATGTTTTGGCGACCTATTTGTTTGGATGATAATTTAAGAGAGAGAGAGAGAGAGAGAGAGAGAGAGAGAGAGAGAGAGAGAGAGAGAGAGAGAGAGAGAAAGAGAGAGAAAGAGAGAGAAAGAGAGAGAAAGAGAGAGAAATTCATTATTTTTTTAATTATTATTATTTAGTAGTAGTAGTAGTACTGTATATACTGCATAATAAAATGCATATAAAGTAAAATATAAGTCAAGTTATATACAATATAATACTATACTATATTTGATAGTAAAATATTATACTATATATTAATAGTAATAATAATAATAATAACAAGAATATTAAAAATAAATATTAAAAATAAATTGACTTTAATAAACTAATAGTAAAACTATAAAATTTATATTACAGAATATATAGATTACTAATAAAATTTTTAAAAATAGATTTTAATTATTATTAGTATTATTTATGTAAAAATAAAACTCTAAAATATTAAAATAAATAAATAATATATTTAATTAATTTTTTAAAGTTTATTTTCTAAAAAAATTACCAAAAAATAATAAACTTGAAAAAATGTTAACTATTTTTTGTCAACAACAACAGCAAAAATATTTGATTATAAATTAAAATCTAATTAATTTGATTTATATATTTAATTAACAGTAACTTTAATGACATTTTCTATTATTATTTTTTTGTTTATAATTTTTACTGTTTTTTTGAATGTATTATTTTGAGAAATAAAAACAAACAAAAAAATAAAATGTTATTTGATATTTA